ATCTGCCAGGGATTCAAAACGCCGCACCACACCAAAGCTCTCCGACAGAACCTTCAGCAGCAGCATCCTTCTGTCCTCGGTTGTAGAGTGTGTGTTTTTGCGATAGAGTGAATTGTTACGATCTTAGTAGATAGTGTTTTTGTATGATTGTATTTAGTGAGTATCGTAAGGGTGAGCTGCCATTTTCTTTGTACTACTTTTCTCATGTTTTTCATTAGGATAGGGAGTTAGGTTTAGTAACTGTATTTTATTTCTATCGCATAGGGATTAGTAAGGATTTTTGTTTAAGGAAGTTAGCCCCGTTTTGTTTGTTGTTTTGGCCTTGGTTCACCCTGAAGTTTGTTTAGTCTTTGTTGCACTTTGTTTCACCTGGTTGTAAATAAATCACATCACTTGATTGTTAACACTGTGTTAGTTGTTCGTTTGGGGATCGGGGTAGGATTATTGGTTCATTTTTCATCACACATTTATGTGGCGCTCCTTCCCCCTAGACAGGGGCGTAACATAAATTGGGGGCTCGTCCGTCCTTCATTAATTATTTTGTTGTCTTGTGCTTGTTAGTGAGAAAGAAAAAAAAACTAAAAAAAAAAAAAACTCCCCAATTTTTTTTTCTATCTGATGTTTGATTGGTGATTCTTCTTGTGTGTGGAGGGAAAATGGATTTTCAAATAGATGAGTTTGCACAAAATCCCACTTTAGAAAAATTAGATCGATGCACAAAAGCACAATTAGGATTAATTGCTAAATTTTTTGGCATCTCTGTTCCTTTGAACGCACGCAAGGCAGAGATTAAACACAGGTTATCAGAACAGCTGGTGGAGAGTGGCATAGTTACGCAGACAAAGCCAGAGAGGGTTCATGCACCGGAGGTTTTAGAGGAGGAAGTGGGAGCGGAGGCTGCCACAGCCACACAAACCTTCGGCGGCCAGGTGAGTGCGGGGGCGGAGGCTCCGGTTGTCACCCAGGCCTATAGCATGGATCTGGTAGCTCTACTACAGGCTGGAGTAGATACGGAGGATCTGAAGCTGGCCCTCCGCATGAAAGAGGTGGAACTCGAAACCAAGTCCAAAGAGGTTATGCACCTCCGCATAAGGGCTCTGGAGCTGGATCGTCAGTCTCCGACTACGTCCACTCCTGTAAGTATGCGTCTTCCCACCGCTGCCTCTGAGCAATTTGATGTAAGCAGGCATATTGCCTTAGTACCACAATTTAGGGAAAGGGAAGTAGATTCATATTTCAATGCTTTTGAGCGCAATGCTGCGACATTGAGATGGCCCAGAGATGTGTGGAGTTTGCTGTTGCAATACAAACTGGTGGGCAAGGCCCAGGAGGTGTGTGCAAGTTTATCTATTAACGAAAGTCTGGATTATGAAATTGTGAAAGCTACTGTGTTGCGTGCTTATGAGTTGGTTCCTGAGGCATATCGCCAAAAATTTCGCACATGTGGAAAATCGCCCAACCAAACATATGTGGAGTTTGCCAGGGAGAAAACTGTTCTCCTTGATAAATGGTGCACTGCGAGTAAAGTGACAAATTTTGTTCAACTCCGTGAACTATTTTTGCTAGAAGAGTTTAAAACATGTCTCCCAGAGAAAATCGTCATTTACTTAAATTAACAAAAATCAGATTCTGTGTCCAAAGCTGCTGTGCTCGCCGATGAGTTCGTTTTAACGCACCGTGTTGTTTTTACGGCAGGGCGCTGTGAACAAACTGCGATTGCAAACACTGGAAATAACCATAAAATCTTACCAAAAAATCCACATAGACCTAATCCTACGTCTTCTGAACGTGAAGACCAAAAAACAAGACGATCTAGGTTGGAATTCATTTCAACAAGTGGTAGTCCCACAGAAATTTTGCCCTCAGGTATTGAATCTAGCCCATGATAACATTGCTGGCCATTCAGAAAAAAAAAGACTTACCATCGCATCCTGCGGTACTTCTTTTGGCCAGGTTTGAAAGCCGATGTGACAAAATACTGCCATTCATGCCACACTTGTCAGGTTAGAGAAAGTGTGCAGGAATCTACAGGTTTCAGTCCTGCAGAGCTGGTGTTTGGTCACACCGTGCGTGGTCCTCTGCGGTTGCTGAGAGAGAGATACCTGTCTGCCACTACTAGTCCCGTTCAAAATGTGTTAGATTATGTGAGCTCTTTCAGAGAACGTCTGCACTCAGCCTGTGAGACCGAGCGCAGCGCTCTTGCTGCCTCCCAGAAAAAAATGAAAAAGAAATTCGACAAGAAATCCGTTTCCAAGTTGGTGAAAAAGTTCTGCTCACAATCTCTGTTTCTGCCCTCCAGGCAAAGTTCTGTGGTCCGTATGTTATGGAAAATATATTAAGTGAAACTGACTACGTTGTTCGGAGGAGAAAGTCCTGTGTGTGCCACATTAAATGTTGAAGCCATATTTCGGTCATGATGTCCCTTTAACTCCCCGTGCATTTGAAATCTTCATTTTCGTTCCTTCAGTAGCCTATACCGTTATGCATTTCGGTCTCCGAAACGCGTGTTGGCGGATGCACTCTCCCGTGTCTCTTCCTAACCTTAAGGGTCAAACATTTTAGGGGAAATGTTTGATTTTTTAGGAAGGGGGGTGTTACGGCCCTGGCCGTATTATTAGTATTATGTTATGGTATTGGTTCCGTCTGTGGTGTGTGTTGGTGTTTTTTGTCCCTGTTCCTCTGCAGGAGTGTGCAGCCTGTCGATTGTAGATCTTTGACGGCAACCCGTAGGTCAGCGCTGACTGGTCCATGCTCGGCTGGTGGAGTGTCTCCTGCTGGTTGGTTCTCCCAGGGAGCCGCAACATCTGCCGGGGATTCAAAACGCCGCACCACACCGAAGCTCTCCGACATAACCTTCAGCAGCAGCATCCTTCTGTCCTCGGTTGTAGAGTGTGTGTTTTTGCGATAGAGTGAATTGTTACGATCTTAGTAGATAGTGTTTTTGTATGATTGTGTTTAGTGAGTATCGTAAGGGTGAGCTGCCATTTTCTTTGTACTACTTTTCTCCTGTTTTTCATTAGGATAGGGAGTTAGGTTTAGTAACTGTATTTTATTTCTATTGCATAGGGATTAGTAAGGATTTTTGTTCAAGGAAGTTAGCCCTGTTTTGTTTGTTGTTTTGGCCTTGGTTCACCCTGAAGTTTGTTGTTTAGTCTTTGTTGCACTTTGTTTCACCTGGTTGTAAATAAATCACATCACTTGATTGTTAACATTGTGTTAGTTGTTCGTTTGGGGATCGGGGTAGGATTATTGGTTCATTTTTCATCACACATTTATGTGGCGCTCCTTCCCCCTAGACAGGGGCGTAACAACCGTTAATAAATTATTTCATAAATTATTTCCGAATCCCGCTAGCATTGCCAACGATAGCCACCATAGCCACGTGCGCACCAGAGCCAATCACTGCAGAGCCCGTGTTGAAGGTGTTTCCCAGTTGTCTCCCCCTGTCAGTCTAAACCTGGGACACTTTATAATCATATGGATGCTGTTATAATGTGTAGTGATTGAGATCCTGACCCACCAAACATCCTGGAAAGTGACAAAGTTAAGTTTTTCAGTCTAAATTACACAATTATTACATAATAATCTACAGCAGTAAACTGACTCCCTCACTCGCAAGACAGAGAATGTTTTAACACTCCGCAGGTTTTTCACCGGTGACAGACGCTGTTTTTCGGGCAGAAATGTGACGGAAGAGTCGGTAGGACAGGTGGGAGGACAGACAGGAGGACAGACGCTTCTCCACGTACAGCTGTGGTATTTTTCTTCCTCATATAAGTTTCCAAAGACAGTTACAGTTGCTACGTTACTGTTGTTTGGTCCTGTAACGTTGCTTTGTGGGACATCTCTCATTATTAAGTTGAGTGAGAGACCTGTGCAGTTATCAGACTGTCTGACCGACACGCCCTCGCTCCGCGCGGTCAGCTTATCCGTTTACACTGTAGGCGGTTCAAAAATAATGCGTCCCTGATACTTCCTCCAGAGGATCAGGGACGGAGCGACATTTCCCCCCTCGCCACATCTGAGTCTTTCACACAGAGGAGGGTGCGGAGAATTGGCGCTGGATCCCCGAATCTCTCTCTCTCTCTCTCTCTGATGTATGCTGGCCTATATTACAGGACTAAATAATATGTCCTAAATGTCCCTGACGTCCCACCTTCAAACACAACCTCATTTGGCCATCCATGAAAAAGCTACTTAACCTCACACTTTTCTATAGCAATACATACTTCCTATGGGTAGTGCACTAGTCATTGTAATGACAGAAAACTGGGTAGCAAGTTTTGTGTACATTACAATGTGAGACTGTTTTTGTTTTCCACTTTTCCGATGACTAGCTGGTCTGACTTGATCGCCAAATATTTTAACACCTAATAAACTGGTATGTTAAGGAAAGCAAATCCAATAAATAGTGGGTAAATGGTTGCATCACTTTATAACTTGTCTCACATTCTTCATTCCCCTTTTTACCCACACACATTGATGGCAGCAAGCTACCATGCAAGGTGTTGGTCTGACCATCGTGAGCAAAGGGGGCTAAAAGTAAGTAAACTTCAACATGTGGACAGGAGGAGCTGGAGACTGAACCGCTGATGCTGTCATTGATGGATGACCTGCTAGACCCAAATGACCTACCCATTATTTTAAACACCTCAGTATAATGTAGTTTAATTTAACAGCACCACAAACTACAGCCTCCAAAAAGTTAAATCAGTATAACCTTCATGAAGGTCGGATTTATCCCATTCGACTGCATTAATCCGGTGAATTTAATAAACTGGGAAGTGAATTTACAAAAATATGTGTTTTTTTTTAGAACATTCAGTCTCCAGTATTTATGTCCTGTTACATCATTTCAATCTGTCACCATAAACATACTAAATTAGGCAAGCCTGCTGGTGTCCAATGTCTTGATGTCTTGATGATGTAAGAACAAGCAGGTGACATACTGTATATAACGTGCATCATTCCTTGCTCTCTCTCTCTCTCTCCCTCTCTCTCTATATATATATATATATCTATCTATCTCTTTGGGGATGTCTAACAATATGACTCTACTTGTCTTATTTCCCTTACTTTACTCTGTCTCTGTCCTCACTATAACGTATAATCCAATTTCTAGCTTTACCTCTCCAACCCCATCTGCAGCTAAAGTGTGCACACTTCAAAACAGCTTTCAGCCAGCCTTTGTGGCCAAGGGTGACTATGTTATTGGGGGGATATTCCCCCTTCACTATAACCAGGAGATGCCAGACCTCAACTGCACCTACAGACCACCGCCAGTGAAGTGCAATGGGTGAGTTTAATACATGTGGACTGGAAATCATATGGTGTCTGTTTTTTTAGAACAAACACAAATGTTGTGAAACTCTTTTAATGATTTTTCCCAAATTACATGGGTCTTTCAAGATAACAAAAAAATAGAAATGATAAGGCTTTTTTAAATTATTATTACAGACCTGTAAAATAAAGCATTACCAAAGACATATGGTGACAAATGAGGAAGAAAAAGGATGAGTAAATATGGGCAAAGCAAAAGGAAACCACTCAGTTAATTCAACTCAAGATAGTTGCAAAGATACAGTTTGGACCAACTTAAAATCAAAACAAATCTCTGCCTTTAATTTGACCTTTTTCTCCATACTTGCTTTGTTTGTGTGTGTGGTGTGTGCATCTGTGTCTGCGGGGCTACAGCTTTGATCCCAGGGCTTTCCGCTGGGTTCAGACTATGAGGCTGGCAGTGGAGGAGATAAACCAGAGTACAGAGCTATTGCCCAATTACACCCTTGGATACCAGATATTTGATTCATGTTCATATCCGCTGACGGGCCAGAGGGCTGCTCTGGCTGTGTTGAACGGGCTGAGCGAGGATAACTCTCCCATGTGCAGCGGTGCCTCTCCACTCCTTGCTGTTATTGGAGAATCTGGTTCTACACTGTCTATGGTGATGTCAAGAATCCTGCAGCCATTCAGAATACCGATGGTAATGATGTCTCTATTCCTGTGTTATCCCCTCACGACATTAACGTGTTATATAATCTGTCTTTGTTCAGTTTATTTAAACAAGAGAGTACAAATCAATACACATGGTAAATAAAAAAAGAAATGCTAGAATTAGCCAAAAGACTATTTTTCGTCTAAGATTTAATGAAACACGACAAATGTCTTATCATAAAGTTGACATGTTTTTTTGTTTTTGTTTTTTGTATGTAAAAAGAGTACTAGAATATGTTTTACCAGAATATACTTTGGGAGCCACGTCATTTGTAAATAGATTGGTTCTTCCTAATTAAGTCATATTTCATATTACTGGCAAATCGATTTTTTGTTATACATCTGTTGCGTATCGTCACCTCATACACAAGATAAATATTTACTGGTTGTAATTGTTGTAAGTACTGTGTTATGTTTCCCTACTGTCATTATTTCTCTTGTTTCCATATCCATTTTGTAACCTGAGACCATTAGATATTCTAAAAAAACTATTCTAAAGAGTTGTATATATAAGTTAGTTAGGTACATGAAAAAAACATCAGCAAATGTCTAATGATGTTTATTCTGACAAAATCTATGACCTCAGCCAAGATTAAATAAATGTTAAATGTAAAATTAAAATTAAAAAGGCCACTTAACATGATCAAATGCTTTTTCAGACACCCATAACAGTCCCTTTCCCTGTAACCTGTTTCTCCTTTACACAGATCAGCTACTTTTCTTCATGTGCTTGTCTCTCTGACAGAAGAAGATTTCCTACCTTCTTCAGAGTTATCCCGAGTGATGAATATCAGGTGAGAGTTTGGCCTCAGATTTAAAAGGGTTTAATAACATTTCAGTGCTGTAGCTGTAAAAAGACATCTTTGGAAAATAAAAAGTAAATCAATGTAACAGCACATTTAATAAATAATATCAATGTCCTCTCAAAATGTCTGTATTAAGACCACTGTGTTGACACTTGTTTCTGTTGAACCCAGGTGAAAGCCATTGCTCAGCTGCTGGTACGGTTCAACTGGACTTGGGTGGGGCTGGTCCGGGGAGACCGTGAATATGGACGCTTCGCTGCGGAAGGTTTACTAAGGGAATTACAGGGTACCAAAGTATGTATAGCGTACCAAGAAATGATCCCTCTGCTCTACAGTCATCAGAGGGCACTGGAAATCATGCAGGTAGCAACACAGACATAACTATGTTTTACATCATTAGAGAGTTGTTATTACTGTTCGCATATCAATTTCTATATTAGTTTGTCCTAAGAATGTGATAATCCTGGCAAAAAATGTTGCAGTCTTGCTTTCAGCCCATATATCTCAGTGTCCCCAAGTTGGATCCATGCCTCCATGGATCTAGTCTGGCTAATAGGAAATAGGCCGCTGGTAATAAATCTGCCATTGAGCAACTATCATCTTCTCCCGTTCAACTATCTTTCAACACTATTTTGCAAGGGCACCGTTACCGCATCCAGGGCTAGTGGCACTAAACAAGCCAGCATTTTTTTTTCCTAGAGCAGAATGATTATGGTTTCAACTAGACCTTGATCCAGCACTGGCAGAGCGCTAAAACGAACTGTGGAGATTTAGGCAATGCAAGACTACCATGGACCCAGGGGTATTGGCTCAAATTGCATGCCACAGTGTCTGCTTTGATACCACTCTGTGTCAACAGATATGGACATTCTCCATATAATACATATACTGTGGGCATCTAAAAAATTGTTATTTCTTATCATGTCGTAATGTTTTTATATTTAACCTGATCTCTTTTTCCTTCTCTTTTCCTTGCAAACCTCCTTCCTCCACCAACATCTGGTTCTCTGTAAAGGTGATGCAAACCTCTGCAGCAAAGGTTGTGGTGGTGTTTTCATCTGAGGGGGAGATGACACCTTTCTTGAAAGATTACATGAAGCAGAACATCACTGGAATCCAATGGGTGGCCAGTGAGGCCTGGGTTACAGCATCTGTCTTTGCAGGGAGCGAGTATTACCCCTACATGGGGGGCACCATTGGGTTTGGAATAAGAACAGGTCATATATCCAGACTCAGTGACTACCTCCAAACAGTAAACCCTCAGATGTATCCAAATAATCTTTTGGTTAAGGAGCTGTGGCAGGCTCTGTATGGTTGCAGACCTTCTGTGTCCTCTGACTCCAAGTTGCCTCCCTGCACAGGGCAGGAGTCCCTGTTGAAACAGCATTCGGCCTACATGAATACATCCAGCCCTAGAGTAGCATACAATGTCTATAAGGCTGTACATGCAATTGCTCATTCCCTCCACAACCTTTTTCTCTGTCAACCAGGCAGTGGGCCTTTCCAAAACAACTCATGTGCTCAAAGCAACAACATACACCCCTGGCAGGTATAATCCAGTATTCTTACTGTTACAGTATCAAACTGAAAATCTTGTTTGAAAGAGTATTTCATATTATCTATTGGTTTTCAAGCTCCAATACTACCTTCAGGAAGTGAAATTTGAAATTGCCGGGGAGGAGGTGAACTTTGACCTGAAGGGCGACTCCATACCCTATTATGATATCATCAACTGGCAGAGAGGCACAGGTGGAAACATTGAGTTTGTCAACGTGGGGTTGTTTGATGGAACCAAGCCTGCTGGAGAGGAGCTGGTGATCCAGGAAGACAGGATCATTTGGGCAGGGCATCAGAGTGAGGCAAGCTGCTCGCAGTGTTTTGTTTTCAGAAGTAAAAAATGCAAAGACATTTAATAACAATAAAGTTCAAGAGAGAAAAGAACACCCTCACATTTGAGGAGTTGGGACCAGCAAATATTGGTGTTTTTTCTGTCAGACATTGGACTAATCAAGTAATTGACTAGTGATTTCAGCACTCTCATTTCACACTACAGATCTGAAAGCCGTTGTCTCTCCCTAGGTTCCAGTGTCTGTATGTAGTGCCAGCTGTCTTCCAGGGTCCCGGAAGGCTGTCCGTCATAGGGAGCCTGTTTGCTGTTTTGACTGTGTACCATGTGACAGTGGCAAAATTAGCAATCAGACAAGTGAGCTTGAAACCAAGCAATACATATTGCAAAAATTCAAAATATTCTATTACAATCAGTTAATATTTGAATATTTATTTTTATATTTTTAATATTTGAAAATGAGCTACTCTTTTTTTAACCCTTTTCCCTTTAGACTCAATAGAGTGCACATTTTGTCCGGAGGACTTCTGGTCAAACAAAGACAGAACAGCCTGCATCCCCAAGGAGGTGGAGTTCTTGGCTTATGATTCCTTGGGTATAGTCCTGACAGTGATCTCTGTGGTGGGTGCCTGCCTCACTATGGCTGTCTTTGCAGTCTTTTTCTATCATAGAAACACAGCCATTGTCCGAGTGAATAACTCTGAACTCAGCTTCTTCATCCTTTTTGCACTGACTCTGTGTTTCCTGTGTTCCCTGGTGTTCATTGGAGAGCCAACACCTTGGTCCTGCATGCTGCGCCACACTGCCTTTAGCATTACATTTTCACTTTGCTTCTCGTGCATTCTGGGGAAGACTCTGGTGGTGTTGGCGGCTTTCACTGCCACCAGGCCAGGGAACAACATCATGAAGTGGCTGGGGCCCAAGCAGCAGAGGTTCATTATTTTCAGTTGCACTCTGGTTCAGGTGGCTATCTGTGCTGCCTGGCTCATTGATGCTCCTCCTTTTCCATCCCGAAATACACAATATGAACGCTCAAAGATCATACTGGAGTGTAGCGTTGGCTCCAGCTTCGCATTCTGGTGTGTTCTAGGGTATATTGGTCTACAGGCCTGTCTGTCCTTCGTCCTGGCTTTTCTGGCCCGTAAGTTGCCAAGCAACTTCAACGAGGCCAAGTTCATCACTTTTAGCATGCTGATCTTCTGTGCTGTGTGGCTAGCATTTATCCCTGCTTATATCAGCTCACCTGGAAATTATGCAGATGCAGTGGAGTCATTTGCCATTCTGGCGTCCAGCTTTGGCTTGTTGTTCTGCCTGTTTGCTCCAAAGTGCTACATTATTTTACTGAAACCAGAACAGAATACAAAACAGCACCTGATGGGGAAAAAGTAACTTGTCATAACTTAACCTTTTTTAAAATATTTAAGATTTCCATTCAACACTGTAATTGTTATTCAAACGTTGTCTTCACAAATTAGGATTTATTTTACATTTGTTTTAACTGAGCAGTGATAGACAGTAAGCAACTCATATTGCAACACTGTAACTTAAGTACAGTGTACAAGGAAGTACAAGTTACAAGAAGCTTCTGACTTGTATAACTTGTGTATGATATTTAGTAGGGGCAAATTATTTTGTGGAAAAGACAGCTTTTTAGTTTTGGATTCATTCAAGGTCAATGGGTTTGGAAATGTACACACTCTAAAGGAATAAAATAAATGACAATTAAGTAATTATTGATTATACTTCAAAATACTCTGATGTTTGCAAAGTACTGTGTGCCACTGTATTGTAACATAGTCAGGCTTTTGTCCTGAGGGGAACTTAAGACAAATATTTGTGGTGATTTTCAGTTATTACTTGCTTGTACAGAACCATGGATCAATAAAGAAAGCTTTTAGATCATGATGCTCTGGGAAATAAATGCACAGGGAGGGGGGGCATCGAACACAACACAGGGATACATCCACCACAGAAAGGGCAGCAAAAAAGGTGCACCATTGCGCACAATGATCATGGTTAAAGGTGGAATTGACTGAGTTAGACTGAACAGTTAATGATATTCATTATGTAGGCAGGACAGTCTTATCAGCTCAGGCTACATATTGCATTCATGTAGAACTTTTTTATTTAAACTACAATAAACTCCATTCCTGCATATCTTGTACACAGTATAAATGTGGCAACGTTTATATGGATGGTTCTGGTGTGGTACACTAGAGCTGGACTAGAAGTTTGGGTCAAATTATCAATGAAGTTAAAATGTGTAGGTGTTTTTGGATGTCAACTGCATGAACTGATGCTAACCTTTATGCAACTGTGTGGTGAAGAAATGGATAGCTTTTTCATGCCATTGCTTAGCTTAATTGCAGTCATGGCACAATCCTTTGTGTCACTGCCATGCAAAGTTGGTCATTGATGAAAAATAAAATCATTAATTGTCATTTATTATTAATTATGTAAATTCCATACCAGATTTACACTTACATACACAGTGGTAACTATGTCGTTTGCAAAGGCACGTCTCCAGAAACCTGTGACACTGTTTCCAGAGTTGAAGGGAAATAACTGCACACAGATACTCCAGATAGTACTGACACCACATTGTATATAGAGCTTATACATTTTATTAATGCAGTTATAGGAATTCACTCATATTAATTTACAGTAAGAGGGAAACTTTCAGTTAGGTCCTCACTTGAAGCGTAGTATTAAAATAATATTATTGAAACATGTTTCATGTGGCATTTTATTTTTGTTTCATCATAAAAAAAATTCTAAATTATTTTCTAATTACAATTTCAAATTAAAAAGCATGCTTTGCCAGACAGCCACTTAAAATGACCCTCGTCATAAATGCTGAGTTCATTTGAGATGTTTCCCAGTCATTCCTTTCTTAATGTTTCTCTCAGGCCGCAGTAAAATTATGTAACATTTGGGCACAAAAATACACAGTAACAGTCCAAAACTGGAGGCTAATATAGCAAATACTTCCACAGCCACAGTGAACTTCCCAGGAGAGCTGACATAAGCTGGGATGAAAGAGATCCACACGGCCCAGAAGATCAGCATGCTGAAGGTGATGAGCTTGGCCTCATTGAATGTATCAGGTAGCTTGCGTCCGAGGAACGCGAGGAGGAGGCAGAGGAAGGCCAATAGGCCAATGTAGCCCAGGACCAGATAAAAGCCAGGAGGCCATGGTTCCTTACACTCCACAACAATCTAATTATGTCCAACAATACACAAATAGGATTCAATTAATATATTCAGATTTGCATGAGGGTGTGAAGTAACTAATTTTTATAATTATCTTTGGTTCCTTTCGGATCTCAATGATAAACATTAAAGTCCTTATGTGTATGATTTGAACATTTCTGACTTTGGGAAGTCCTAATAGTAGTGTCAAAAAAGACACTTTGGGACATTTTCTTACTTTTCCAGTTGAGGCTTGGTAGGTTGGGTTCCTGAATGGGAAGGGAGATGCGCCCGACAGCCAGCCAGCACAGACACAAACCTGACCGCAAGATGGGAAGATATACAATTAAGTAAAACAAACTAAAACTAAAAACTTTAAATGGTCACAAATTGAGATTAAGATGAGTGGTGCTTCTTTAGCCCTCCCACCTGAGGAGCTGTGGTGCACAGGATTAAAGTCCTCTGTTGAGAGGGACCAAACAGCTTCACAGCTCTGGAACCAGGTGCACTAGCCCGGAAGGCCAAGAGAACCACAATGGTCTTAACAAGGAGGCAGGACAGACAGAGGACAAAGCTGATCCCAAATGCCGCCTGGCGGAGCCTACATGTCCACACAGATGGCTGGCCAATGAACACCAGGGAACACAGGAAGCAGAGCTTGAGCGACAGGAGAAGTAAGAAACTTATTTCTGAGTTGTTGGCCTTGACAATCGGTGTGGAGCGGAAACGGTGAAAGACACTAGTGATGACGGTTGTCAGGATGACACCCAGCAGTGTGAGTGCAACCAGGATGATGCCCATGGTGTCGTAGAAAGACAGGAATTCTTCAACCCCAGCCACACATTTCACCTTGTCTTTGTCTGACCAGTAGTACTCAGGACATTTTGTGCACTCTGTGGAACCTTTGGGGAAACATACAGTCAACACACACGATCATAAACTCTACACAGCAACAGTTTGCATCCACACAACATTTATGTGATTTTAATGGCCTTCTGCTTCTTACAGAACTTCAAACACATATATGAATGAAATATATGAATGAAAAAACATGGGCTACCAGTCTGGTTGCTTATCTCTCCCTCTGCACAAGGCAAACAATCAAAGCAGCAGTGGGGCTTTCCTGGATATCTGGCCTGCCGGCTGCCAGGGGAGCATGGAGCGCTACATTGAGATACAGGCACCTGAACAAGTAAAGATGTAAAATTAGACACCAAGATTTGCTTTGCTGCAGACTAGATGCCTCGTGGAATAATGGGTTTTCAAAGAAAAACAATACAAGAATTGTCATCATGTATCCCAGGTAATCTTTACTATCCCCTAACAAAACAACATATTGCCCCACCTGTGACTGTCCTTTTGTCCATACAATGGTGCTCTGCTCCATCTGCAGCTGTTGTTTCATTGGAGCCGAGCCATCATAGCTTCCCACTTTCACAAATCTAAACACAGCATGAAATTGCAATGAGGCCAAACAATATGTGTGACAGTTTTTCATCATAACTCAGATAAAACTAAATAAATTAAAAAGCCATATGTATATAGCACATAATATTCCACCTGATTTCACCCTTGCCGTCCTTCTGCCAGTTAATGATATCATAGAGGGGGACCGGCTCTCCGTTGGAGTCAAAATATACTTTCTCTTCAAACTGGTTGGTGAAATTTACCATCTTCAGATGATGCAGTAACTGTGTGAAAGAAAGAAGAAACAGCAAAAACAACAACAGGACAAAGAATGATTAAAAACATTTTAATAATTACATAATTCATATATTTGATTTAAACATTTTGTAGTTGTTCAACTTACCTGACTAGTAGTAAATGATTTATGTTTCTCACACAGTCCCTCATATCCTGCAGAACCACAGTTCAATAAAGTGTGCAGAGCATGGGCGATTGCGTATACAGCTTTATACACGTTATAGGATATTCTGACCTGAGCTACATCAGTATAACTGCTGTCAGTGTACCTCAGATCCTCTGAACCAGTGCATATAGGCTTTTCATCATCTGATGCCTTGAATGTGCTGTATGTTGAATTGTTTTGAGAGTCTGAACTAAACTCAAGCCTACAGCCAAACAGCTCTTCCCAGAACATGTTGACAAATTCCATCCCAGGTTTGGGAGAAGGCCGGACATTCAACAAAAACTCTTTTAAGCCGGGAATACTAACTCCAGGGAAAGAGAAGCCCAGTGTGCCCTCTAAGAGAGGGTGAAAGTGGGGTGAAGTCAGCACGCTAGCGGCCACCCAGGATTCACTAGCTACCCACTGGATCCCCGTCACATTTCTCTGAACCAACTGGAAAAAAAGGCATAAAGAAATTTGATAATGAATGATAGCAAAACAGATGATCACGAGCACCAACATTCCTTTGATATTCCTAATTTGTATATTAATTTAACTAAAGCATATAAAATGTTATGCCTAGTTATATACATTAACTGAGACATAGAGTGCTTACCTCTAACAGTAGTTCCAGCAGCTGTACCTCTGAAGCAAAGACCACCACTACCTGTGCGGTTGAACTCTGCAGCCTGTCTGCCATTTCTTGTATTTCAGCCGCGGTGGGTGATTTGGGGATAGTCAGATGAAATGCCAGACACCCACCTTGTTGTTTAAACTGATTAGTGAATGCTTGGATTCCATAGTGACTGTAGTCATCCTGAAATGTATAGAGAAAGGTTTTGTGAATCATGTTGGCATGGTAAAATTACTTTTTTAACAGTCGGGTGAATAAAAAATTCTTTATCTCACCGTGGTCTCTATTGTGCCCACCCAGAACCAGCCTAAGAAGGTGACCAGCTGAACAAGACCTCTAACTTGAAAGAGATCACTCGGCACGGTCCGCAAGAATGACGGGTACATACGCTTGTCAGTAAGGCACGTACAAGTGGCAAAATAACTCACCTATAGGGAGATAAGTTAAATTCATCTTTAATGAGATATGATAGAAGCCCAAACCAGAACATTGTTGTGTGATGAGTGAGTGGAAGAACAGCGTATAAAACAATGAATACTGTGCATGATTCTGTCTTTTCATCCCTTTCTTACCAGTGGGAGGTTGAAAGGGCCAAGCGTCTGAGCTACAGCTCTTGTAGGGGAAGAAGATGCAAGACCGATCACAGCAGGCACAGGAGAATCAGACAGACATGAGGGCAAAGTTTCAGATTGTGTACTCCAATCCATTCTCTCCTCTGTTACATTTTCCTTAATGCAATTCCCATTTCTTTCAAGACTGTGAGGCAATGCACTACTAATTTCAGCATCTCTCTTTCTGACTGTGGTCAGCATCATATCCTTTGTTGTGTTTTCTATCTTTAGTCCCTCCATTTTAGTATCTCTGTCCTTTACCATATCTAATCTTTTTTCAGTTTCTTCCATTTGTGTCACCTCACTCATCACTGCTGTAGAGTGAGTGACTAAAGAGAAAAGAGCTTGCAGGCTGGTGTGGATATGGTCACAGCTGTCCAATAACCGGTAGCCTAGTTTAACACCTGGTAATAGGCTTGAATTACGGTTAATTTCCTCCACTGCAAACACCATGGTCATCATCCAGCGGAAGGCTCTGTGGTCAAAGCTGCAGAAATTTAAATAAAGTTGGATGTGTATGTAATTGATCATGAGGCAGAAAAAAACAGTATCACAGCACAACATATATCAGGACATGTAAACAGTTTAACAGAAATACGATATAGTTACAGCAAGAGGAAATTATTTCAATAACCTATTTGTGTATAAATGTGAGATTTTTAACATGGAACTCTATCAGATTTGAGTATCCTCACCTCGTGCAAGGTGTGAGCTGAGGTTTGCTGCGGTAACTGTGCTGTGGTTTAGGGGCCACATAATGAAGAGGGAAAAACCCTCCAATCACAACATCCCCCCCAGACTGCAGGGCCAGAGGCTCACTGTCTGTCAGTTTCGCACATTGAGGTAAGCTAGAAGCAACACCACTCACTCCCTCTATCCCCAAACCAGTCTCTTCTTCTTTCACCACACCTCTCTCTAAACGTAGTTCTTTCCTTTCCTTTGCATATTTACGAACATCAGAGAACACTGGAAAAAGAAAGATAAACAATGCCCCAAGAAGCAGCCAGGGTGATGCCCCAACAAGGCTTGAATGCAGTGTCCATATAGACCCCATAAAGACAGTGTGTGTGCTGGAGACGATGGTTCTCCAACAGAGTCTCTGAAAGGATAATGAAGTACACTATATAAAAACTGTCATGTTTGCTTCATTTCGTAGGTCATATGAGTCATTGTATGATTAACCAATCACAAAGAAAAGCAACAGTTTTGTTGTTATCAAAAGATTTAATGATGCTTCTATGAGCCTATTCACAATAGACACATCAACCAAGCTAAATTGCCAAAACAGTTTCAGTATTTCTACTGTACAGTACATATTATAATCTACATGTTATTTATGATATACATAAATAATGTGCTACTATTATGAATGAAAATAACATAGCAACCATTTTTATGACTGGGTAGAGGCCATGAAAGTCTCAAATTTAAAAATGATTTACATAACCAACCAGTCCAAGATCCCACAAGATGAAAAGGCCAAGCCTGAGAGGCAGAAGGACTGCACAAGTTTGTCTGTAAGAGGCAAGACTGACCAATGGAAAACAGACAAACATCCCTGCAAGACGCAGAGGTCAAACCTGGGAATGAGTGGCCACTCAGGTCAACCTGCAAGTTGCGAAACTGACCAAAGGAGTAGGGACGTACCCAAAACGGAATACATTATATGGGAAACCACAAATATGGTCACTGGCAAGTGATAACATAACCAAAGAAAGTTAAGCATAGGCTATAAATAAAGACATGAATGCAAGCAAAAGTTAAATTGTAACTTAAGACGGATCATTGGTGTAATTTGTATGCTTTGGATGAAAATATAAGGCTGGATGATTCGTCAGCAGCAACAAGAAGAATTTATCTAATGAGGCGACAGGACACAGCAGGTTCCCTGGTTGGTCAAACATAAATCCCCATAGGCTTTCTTTGTTTGTATTTTTGGTGCATTTGTTGACTGACAGCATTGCATATTTCTTCCTGTTCTGGTGGATAATAATTGATTCAGGTTTCAGCTGGCGGTTGCCCTCTTTAGTTCTGCGTCCCATATGCAGCTGCACATCAAGCCAGACTTTTTTGACAAGACCCTTGCTATATATTTTATGTATTTTACAATGGCTTTGAACACAGCTGAGCCCATCATAATTAAGGAACTGAACTATCCGTTTTATAATGCGTTATTTACCATTTGGAATGCAAATTTTAACATCTGTAAAGGAATTGAACTTCTCACCAAATAAAGAGTTATTATATAGGACACTGTACAGTGAAAGGAAAACATATCCACACGCTGCAGTCATGTTAATTTACAGTAATGAGGAAAACTTTCAGTCTAATCTCTACTTGTATTTCCCGATTACGGGATCAATAAAGTCTGTCTTATCTTATCTCTTACTTAAAGAAAAAATCAAAACATGGAAACATGTTTCATGTGGCATTTTATTTAATTTCACATTCAAATAAGCACAGCAGATTTTTTTCAAAATTTTGACTATAAAAATGTCTCATAATTTCAAATTAAAAAGTGCATTCATTTCGGATGTTTCCCAGTCATTCCTTTCTTAATGTTTCTCTCAGGCCGCAGTAAAATGATATAACATTTAGGCACAAAAATACATAGTAGTAGTCCAAAAGTGGAGGCTAATATAGCAAATACTTCCACAGCCACAGTGAACTTCCCAGGAGAGCTGACATAAGCTGGGATGAAAGAAATCCACACGGCCCAAAAGATCAGCATGCTGAAGGTGATGAGCTTGGCCTCATTGAATGTATCAGGTAGTTTGCGTCCGAGGAACGCGAGGAGGAGGCAGAGGAAGGCCAACAGGCCAATGTAGCCCAGGACCAGATAGAATCCAGGAGGCCATGGTTCCTTACACTCCACAACAATCTAATTATGTCCAACAATACATGAATACAGATTAATTATTGTAGTACTACTTGCATGGGATTGTAAAATAACTAATTTTATTTAATTATTTTTTGGTTCCTTTCTGACCTCAATGATAAACATTAAAGCCCCTATGTGTAGGATATGAACATTTCTGACTTTCACTCCTAATGGTAGTGTCAAAAAAGACACTGTGGGACACTGTCATTCTTACTTTTCCAGTTGAGGCTTGGTAGGTTGGGTTCCTGAATGGGAAGGGAGGCGCGCCCAATAGCCAGCCAGCACAGAGACAAACCTGACAGCAAGACGGGAAGATATGTAATTAAGTAAAACAAACTAAAACTAAAAACTTTAAATGGTCACAAATTGAGATTAAGATGAGTGGTGCTTCTTTAGCCCTCCCACCTGAGGAGCTGTGGTGCACAGGATTAAAGTCCTCTGTTGAGAGGGACCAAACAGCTTCACAGCTCTGGAACCAGGTGCACTAGCCCGGAAGGCCAAGAGAACCACAATGGTCTTAACAAGGAGGCAGGACAGACAGAGGACAAAGCTGATCCCAAATGCCGCCTGGCGGAGCCTACATGTCCACACAGATGGCTGGCCAATGAACACCAGGGAACACAGGAAGCAGAGCTTGAGTGACAGGAGAAGTAAGAAACTTATTTCTGAGTTGTTGGCCTTGACAATCGGTGTGGAGCGGAAACGGTGAAAGACACTAGTGATGACGGTTGTCAGGATGACACCCAGCAGTGTGAGTGCAACCAGGATGATGCCCATGGTGTCGTAGAAAGACAGGAATTCTTCAACCCCAGCCACACATTTCACCTTGTCTTTGTCTGACCAGTAGTACTCAGGACATTTTGTGCACTCTGTGGAACCTTTGGGGAAACATACAGTCAACACACACGATCTTAAACTCTACACAGCAACAGTTTGCATCCACACAACATTTCTGTGATTTTAATGGCCTTCTTTTTACAGAACTTAAAACAAATATATGAATATAATATAAGAATGAAAAAACATGGGCTACCAGTCTGGTTGCTTATCTCTCCATCTGCACAGGGCAAACAATCAAAGCAGCAGTGGGGCTTTCCTGGACGTCTGGCCTGCCGGCTGCCAGGGGAGCATGGAGCGCTACATTGAGATACAGGCACCTGAACAAAAAGGTGTAAAATTACACAGCAATATTTGCTTTGCTGCAGACTAGATGCTTGGTGGAACAATGGGTTTTTACAGAAGAAAAATAACATAATAATAATAATAATAATAATCATGTAGACCAGGTATTCTATGAACAAAACTTTAATATTTTGAAAACACATATGAAATTAGTTTAGGAGACATATGCCCCACCTGTGACTGTCCTTTTGTCCATACAATGGCGCTCTGCTCCATCTGCAGCTGTTGTTTCATTGGAGCTGAGCCATCATAGCTTCCCACTTTGACAAATCTAACACAACATAAAATTTGTGAAATCAGGCCAAACAATGTGTCACAGTTTTTATCATAACTTGGATAAAAATTAAATAGCTACAATGAACATAAATTGACATGATTCCTTAAAGAGACAGTTTGTTTTCTTGTGTCTTGAAGATTTTGTTTTGAAGTATAATATTCCACCTGATGTCACCCTTGTTGTCCTTCTGCCAGTTAATGATATCATAGAGGGGGGACCGGCTCTCCGTTGGAGTCAAAATATACTTTCTCTTCAAACTGGTTGGTGAAATTTACCATCTTCAGATGATGCAGTAACTGTGTGAAAGAAAGAAGAAACAGCAAAAAGAACAACAGGAAAAAGAATGATTCAAAAAAATTTAATAATTACATAATTCATTCATATATTTGATTTAAACATTTTGTAGTTGTTCAACTTACCTGACTAGTAGTAAATGATTTATGTTTCTCACACAGTCCCTCATATCCTGCAGAACCACAGTTCAATAAAGTGTGCAGAGCATGGGCGATTGCGTATACAGCTTTATACACGTTATAGGATATTCTGACCTGAGCTACATCAGTATAACTGCTGTCAGTGTACCTCAGATCCTCTGAACCAGTGCATATAGGCTTTTCATCATCTGATGCCTTGAATGTACTGTATGTTGAATTGTTTTGAGAGTCTGAACTAAACTCAAGCCTACAGCCAAACAGCTCTTCCCAGAACATGTTGACAAATTCCATCCCAGGTTTGGGGGAAGGCCGGACATTCAACAAAAACTGTTTTAAGCCGGGAATACTAACTCCAGGGAAAGAGAAGCCTAGTGTGCCCTCTAAGAGAGGGTGAAAGTGGGGTGAAGTCAGCACGCTAGCAGTCACCCAGGCTTCACTAGCTACCCACTGGATCCCCGTCACATTTCTCTGAGCCAACTGGAAAAAAAGGCATAAAGAAATCTGATAATGAATGATAGCAAAACAGATGATCACGAGCACCAACATTCCTTTGATATTCCTTATTACCATATCACTACTAAATACTGATTATTCTCCTTGTTATACCTAGTCACATACATTAACTGAGACATAGAGTGCTTACCTCTAAGAGTAGTTCCAGCAGCTGTCCCTCTGTGGCAAAGACCACCACTACCTGTGCAGTTGAACTCTGCAGCCTGTCTGCCATTTCTTGTATTTCAGCCGCTGTGGGTGATTTGGGGATAGTCAGATGAAATGCCAGACACCCACCTTGTTGTTTAAACTGATTAGAGAATGCTTGGATGCCATAGTGACTGTAGTCATCCTGAAATGTATAGAGAAAGTTTTTTATACCATGTTTGTGTCTTTAACTGACTAATGATAGTGTAAAAGAAGAATTGATCTCACCGTGGTTCCTATTGTGCCCACCCAGAACCAGCCTAAGAAGGTGACCAGCTGAACAAGACCTCTAACTTGAAAGAGATCACTCGGCACCGTCCGCAAGAATGACGGGTACATACGCTTGTCAGTAAGGCACGTACAAGTGGCAAAATAACTCACCTATAGGGAGATAAGTTAAATTCATCTTTAATGAGATATGATAGAAGCCCAAACCAGAACATTGTTGTGTGATGAGTGAGTGGAAGAACAGCGTATAAAACAATGAATACTGTGCATGATTCTGTCTTTTCATCCCTTTCTTACCAGTGGGAGGTTGAAAGGGCCAAGCGTCTGAGCTACAGCTCTTGTAGGGGAAGAAGATGCAAGACCGATCACAGCAGGCACAGGAGAATCAGACAGACATGAGGGCAAAGTTTCAGATTGT